GTGTCTATGGGACTCTATGGATCTCTATGAGTCTCTATGGGTGTCTATGGGTGTCTATGAGTCTCTATGGATGTCTATGAGTCTCTATGGGTCTCTATGGGTGTCTATGGGTGTCTATGGGTCTCTATGGGTATCTATGGGTGTCTATGAGTCTCTATGGGTCTCTATGGGTGTCTATGTGTCTCTATGTGTCTCTATGGGTCTCTATGGGTGTCTATGGGTCTCTATGAGCCTCTATGGGTGTCTATGGGTCTCTATGGGTCTCTATGGGTCTCGATGGGTGTCTATGGGTGTCTATGGGTCTCTATGAGTCTCTATGGGTGTCTATGGGTGTCTATGGGTCTCTATGGGTGTCTATGGGTCTCTATGAGTCTCTATGAGTCTCTATGGGTGTCTATGGGTCTCTATGGGTCTCTATGGGTGTCTATGGGTCTCTATGAGTCTCTATGAGTCTCTATGGGTGTCTATGGGTGTCTATGGGTGTCTATGGGTCTATGGGTCTCTATGGGTGTCTATGGGTTTCTATGAGTTTCTATGGGTGTCTATGGGTGTCTATGGGTGTCTATGGGTCTCTCTGGGTGTCTATGGGTGTCTGTGGGTGTCTATGAGTCTCTCTGGGTGTCTATGGGTCTCTATGGGTGTCTATGGGTCTCTATGGGTGTCTATTGGTGTCTATGGGTGTCTATGGGTCTCTATGGGTGTCTATGGGTGTCTATGGGTCTCTATGAGTCTCTATGGGTGTCTATGGGTGTCTATGGGTGTCTATGGGTCTCTATGAGCCTCTATGGGTGTCTATGGGTGTCTATGGGTCTCTATGGGTCTCTATGGGTGTCTATGGGTCTCTATGGGTCTCTAAGGGTGTCTATGGGTGTCTATGGGTCTCTATGGATCTCTATGAGTCTCTATGGGTGTCTATGGGTGTCTATGGGTCTCTAAGGGTGTCTATGAATCTCTATGGGTGTCTATGAGCCTCTATGGGTGTCTATGGATGTCTATGGGTCTCTTTGGGTGTCTATGGGTGTCTATGGGTGTCTATGGGTCTATTTGGGTGTCTATGGGTCTCTCTGCGTGTCTATGGGTCTCTATGGGTGTCTATGGGTCTCTTTGGGTGTCTATGGGTGTCTATGGGTGTCTATGGGTCTCTATGGGTGTCTATTGGTCTCTATGGGTGTCTATGGGTCTCTATGAGTCTCTATGGGTGACCATGGGTCTCTCTGCGTGTCTATGAGTGTGTATGGGTCTCTGTGGGTGTCTATGTTTCTCTCTGGTTGTCTATGGATGTCTATGCATCTCTATGAGTCTCTATGGGTGTCTATGGGTGTCTATGGGTGTCTTTGGGTCTCTATGGGTCTCTCTGGGTGTCTATGGGTGTCTATGCGTCTCTATGGGTCTCTATGGGTGTCTATGGGTCTCTATGGGTCTCTATGGGTGTCTATGGGTGTCTATGGGTGTCTATGGGTCTCTGTGGGTGTGTATGGGTCTCTATGGGTGTCTATGCGTCTCTATGGGTCTCTATGGGTGTCTATGGGTGTCTATGGGTCTCTATGGGTGTCTATGGGTCTCTATGGGTGTCTATGGGTCTCTATGAATCTTTATGAGTCTCTATGGGTGTCCATGGGTGTCTATGGGTCTCTAAGGGTGTCTATGAGTCTCTATGGGTGTCTATGAGCCTCTATGGGTGTCTATGGGTGTCTATGGGTGTCTATGGGTCTCTATGGATGTCTATGGGTCTCTTTGGGTGTCTATGGGTGTCTATGGGTGTCTATGGGTCTCTTTGGGTGTCTATGGGTCTCTCTGCGTGTCTATGGGTCTCTATGGGTGTCTATGGGTCTCTTTGGGTGTCTATGGGTGTCTATGGGTGTCTATGGGTCTCTATGGGTGTCTATGGGTCTCTATGGGTGTCTATGGGTCTCTATTAGTCTCTATGAGTCTCTATGGGTGACCATGGGTCTCTCTGCGTGTCTATGAGTGTGTATGGGTCTCTATGGGTGTCTATGTTTCTCTCTGGTTGTCTATGCGTCTCTATGGGTCTCTATGGGTGTCTATGCGTCTCTATGGGTGTCTATGGGTCTCTTTGGGTGTCTATGGATGTCTATGGGTCTCTATGGGTGTCTATGGGTCTGTATGTGTGTATATGTGTCTCTATGGGTGTCTTTGGGTGTCTATGGATCTCTATGGGTGTCTATGGGTGTCTATGGGTCTCTATGAGTCTCTATGGGTGTCTATGGGTGTCTATGGGTCTCTATGGGTGTATATGAGTCTCTATGGGTCTCTATTGGTGTCTATGGGTGTATATGGGTGTCTATTGGTCTCTATGGGTGTCTATGGGTCTATGGGTCTCTATGGGTGTCTATGGGTGTCTATGGGTGTCTATGGGTCTCTATGGGTGTCTATGGGTCTATGGGTCTCTATGGTGTCTATGGGTGTCTATGGGTTTCTATGAGTCTCTATGGGTGTCTATGGGTCTGTATGTGTGTCTATGTGTCTCTATGGGTGTCTATGGGTGTCTATGGGTGTCTATGGGTCTCTATGGGTCTCTATGGGTGTCTATGGTTCTCTATGAGTCTCTATGGGTCTCTATGGGTGTCTATGGGTGTCTATGGGTGTCTATGGGTCTCTATGGGTGTCTATGGGTCTCTATGGGTGTCTATGGGTGTCTATGGGTTTCTATGAGTCTCTCTGGGTGTCTATGGGTGTCTATGGGTTTCTATGGGTGTCTATGGGTCTCTATGGGTGTCTATGGGTGTCTATGGGTCTCTATGAGTCTCTATGGGTGTCTATGGGTTTCTATGCGTGTCTATGGGTGTCTATGGGTCTCTATGGGTGTCTATGGGTGTCTATGGGTCTCTATGGGTCTCTATGGGTGTCTATGGGTGTCTATGAGTGTCTATGGGTGTCTATGGGTCTCTATGAGTCTCTAAGGGTCTCTATGGGTGTCTATGGGTCTCTATGGGTGTCTATGGGTGTCTATGGGTCTCTATGGGTGTTTATGGGTCTCTATGGGTGTCTATGGGTCTCTATGGGTCTCTATGAGTCTCTATGGGTGTCTATGGGTCTCTATGAGTGTCTATGGGTCTCTATGGGTGTCTATGGGTCTCTATGGGTGTCTATGTGTGTCTATGGGTCTCTATGGGTGTCTATGGGTCTCTATGGGTCTCTATGGGTGTCTATGAGTGTCTATGGGTTTCTATGGGTCTCTATGAGTCTCTATGGGTCTCTACGGGTGTCTATGGGTGTCTATGGGTGTCTATGGGTCTCTATGCACCTCCACTCACTCTCCTGCCTCCACACGGAGACATCTTTGAGAGCGCCGGTGATGATGATGGTGGTGATGATGGTGGTGATCGTGATGATGATGGTGATGATGGTGGTGATGGTGGTGATCGTGATGATGATGGTGGTGGTGATGATGATGGTGGTGGTGATGATGATGGTGGTGATGGTAGTGATGGTGATGATGGTGGTGGTGATGATGGTGATGATGGTGGTGATGGTGATGATGGTGGTGATGGTAGTGATGGTGATGATGGTGGTGGTGATGATGGTGGTGATGGTGGTGATGGTGGTGGTGGTGATGGTGATGATGGTGGTGATTGTGATGATGGTGATGATGGAAATGGTGGTGGTGATGGTGGTGATGGTGGTGATGGTGGTGGTGATGGTGATGGTGGTGATCGTGATGATGATAGTGGTGGTGATGGTGATGATGGTGGTGATTGTGATGATGGTGATGGTGATGATGGAAATGGTGGTGGTGATGGTGGTGATGGTGGTGATGATGGTGGTGGTGATCTTGATGATGATGGTGGTGATGGTGATGATGGTGGTGATGGTGGTGGTGGTGATGATGGTGGTGATGGTGGTGGTGATGGTGGTGGTGATGGTGATGATGGTGGTGATGATGGTGGTGGTGATTGTGATTGTGATGGTGATGATGGTAATGGTGGTGGTGATG